AAGAGATGTAATATAGTGTGACAGGGAAGGTCCTGGAGGTTATTCTGTCTTGTAGTGTAAGAGATGTAATATAGTGTGACAGGAAGGTCCTGGAGGTTATTCTGTCTTGTAGTGTTAGAGATGTAATATAGTGTGACAGGAAGGTCCTGGAGGTTATTCTGCCATGTAGTGTAAGAGATGTAACTTAGTGTGACAGGAAGGTCCATGGGGTTATTCTGTCTTGTGGTTTAAGAGATGTAACTTAGTGTGACAGGAAGGTCCTGGAGGTTATTCTGTCATGTAGTGTATGAGATATGTGTGACAGGAAGGTCCTGGAGGTTATTCTGTCATGTAGTGTAAGAGATGTAATATAGTGTGACAGGAAGGTCTAGGAGGTTATTCTGTCTTGTAGTGTAAGAGATGTAATATAGTGTGACAGGAAGGTCCTGGAGGTTATTCTGCCATGTAGTGTAAGAGATGTAATGTATAGTGTGACAGGAAGGTCCTGGAGGTTATTCTGTCTTGTAGTGTAAGAGATGTAACTTAGTGTGACAGGAAGGTCCTGGAGGTTATTCTGTCTTGTAGTGTAAGAGATGTAACTTAGTGTGACAGGAAGGTCCTGGAGGTTATTCTGTCTTGTAGTGTAAGAGATGTAACTTAGATGTAACTTAGTGTGACAGGAAGGTCCTGGAGGTTATTCTGCCATGTAGTGTAAGAGATGTAATATAGTGTGACAGGAAGGTCCAGGGGGTTATTCTGTCTTGTAGTGTAAGAGATGTAATATAGTGTGACAGGAAGGTCCTGGGGGTTATTCTGTCTTGTAGTGTAAGAGATGTAACTTAGTGTGACAGGAAGGTCCTGGAGGTTATTTCTGTCTTGTAGTGTAAGAGATGTAGTGTAAGAGATTCAGTGTGACAGGAAGGTCCTAGAGGTTATTCTGCCATGTAGTGTAAGAGATGCAATATAGTATGACAGGAAGGTCGAGGAGGTTATTCTGTCTTGTAGTGTAAGAGATGTAATATAGTGTGACAGGAAGGTCCAGGGGGTTATTCTGTCTTGTAGTGTAAGAGATGTAACTTAGTGTGACAGGAAGGTCCTGGAGGTTATTCTGTCTTGTAGTGTAAGAGATGTAACTTATTGTGACAGGAAGGTCCTGGAGGTTATTCTGCCATGTAGTGTGAGGGATGTAACTCAGTTTGACTTGAAGGTTCTGGAGGTTATTCTGCCGTGTAGTGTAAGAGATGTAACTTAGTGTGACAGGGAGGTCCTGGAGGTTATTCTGCCATGTAGTGTAAGAGATGTAACTTATTGTGACAGGAAGGTTCTGGAGGTTATTCTGCCATGTAGTGTAAGAGATGTAATATAGTGTGACAGGAAGGTCCTGGAGGTTATTTTGTCATGTAGTGTAAGAGATGTAACTTAGTGTGACAGGAAGGTCCTGGAGGTTATTCTGCCATGTAGTGTAAGAGATGTAATATAGTGTGACAGGAAGGTCCAGGAGTTATTCTGTCTTGTAGTGTAAAGATATTGAACTTAGTGTGAAAGGAAGGTCCTGGAGGTTATTCTATTAGTGTAATGTGTAATATAGTGTGAAGGTAAGTTATTCTGTCCTTGTAGTGTAATAACTTAGTGTGACAGGAAGGTCCTGGAGGTTATTCTGTCTTGTAGTGTAAGAGATGTAACTTAGTGTGACAGGAAAGGTCCTGGTAAGGAAAGAGATGTGGTAACATAGTGTGACAGGGAGGGGTTATTCTGTCTTGTAGTGTAAGATAATTAACATAGTGTGACAGGAAGGTCCTGGAGGTTATTCTGTCTTGTAGTGTAAGAGATGTAATATAGTGTGACAGGAAGGTCCAGGGGGTTATTCTGTCTTGTAGTGTAAGAGATGTAACTTAGTGTGACAGGAAGGTCCTGGAGGTTATTCTGTCTTGTAGTGTAAGAGATGTAACTTAGTGTGACAGGAAGGTCCTGGAGGTTATTCTGTCATGTAGTGTAAGAGATGTAACTTAGTGTGACAGGAAGGTCCTGGAGGTTATTCTGCCATGTAGTGTAAGAGATGTAATATAGTGTGACAGGAAGGTCCTGGAGAGGGTTATTCTGTCTTGTAGTGTAAGAGATGTAATATAGTGTGACAGGAAGGTCCTGAGGTTATTCTGTCTTGTAGTGTAAGGGATGTAACTTAGTGTGACAGGAAGGTCCTGGAGGTTATTCTGTCATGTAGTGTAAGAGATGTAATATAGTGTGACAGGAAGGTCCTGGAGGTTATTCTGTCTTGTAGTGTAAGAGATGTAACTTAGTGTGACAGGAAGGTCCTGGAGGTTATTCTGTCATGTAGTGTAAGAGATGTAACATAGTGTGACAGGAAGGTCCAGGAGGTTATTCTGTCTTGTAGTGTAAGAGATTGAACTTAGTGTGACAGGAAGGTCCTGGAGGTTATTCTGTCTTGTAGTGTAAGATAGTTGATGAAAAGGAAGGTCCTGGAGGTTACTATAGTGTGACAGGAAGGTCCTGGGGTTATTCTGTCTTGTAGTGTAAGAGATGTAATATAGTGTGACAGGAAGGTCCTGGAGGTTATTCTGTCTTGTAGTAGTGTAGAGAGATGTAACTTAGTGTGACAGGAAGGTCCTGGGGGTTATTCTGTCCATGTAGTGTAAGAGATGTAACTTAGTGTGACAAAAAGGAAGGTCCTGGAGGTTATTCTGCCATGTAGTGTAAGAGATGTAACTTAGTGTGACAGGAAGGTCCTGGAGGTTATTCTGCCATGTAGTGTAAGAGATGTAAAATGTGTGCAACTTGAGGAGTCAGTAACATTCTTCACCAACGTCCACTTTGTGTATGTGCAACATGAGTCATTGACATTCTTCATCTACGTTATTCTGTCATGTAGTGTTAGGGATGTAACTTAGTGTGACTTCAAGGTCCTGGATGTTATTTTGTCATGTCTTGTAAGAGATGTAACTCAGTGTGACCAGAAAGTACTGGAGGTTATCTTGCCATGTAGTGTAAGAGATGTAACTCAGTGTGACTGGAAGGTCATGGGAGGCATCCCTTGTGATGTATGTATAGTGTTAGGATTTCCTCTTGTCACATGGGTGTGTGTACTAGTGGTGGTATGATTAATTGAAATAATTGAAGATTGGTCACAATGACAAAACGACCAAGCAATCGATCATGTTTTCTCATAATCGAACACATACAATTTTGGACCACTTGTTTGCAATAACAATATCAAAAGGTTGATTTTGTCTCGACATTGCATAAGCACTACAAGCTCGTTCCAAGTCATGATTAAGTTTATCTTAACAACTCCAGGAAATGTATGTTCCTAAAACACTAGTCATCCTTTAAAGATGTGAAATTTGCAAATGCATTTTGTGCAATTTGCGAAAACCCTGAGAGAACTACATGTTTTTTCTTTATTATTTGTGCATTAACTGACAAAACCAGGAAAATGTGATAAATGACGCTAACCAATCATTTTCGATGATTGATCTGTTGTAATGAACCAATCATCAATTTTGAGATTTACACCAATTCCCAACACTAGTGTGTACTGAAACTGACAATCTTATATGGCTGTGATGCCCTGGAATCGCCTTTGATATGTTGTCTTCATGCTTGACTTCCCCATGAGGGATGCGGAGAAAACGGATCCCAGCGAAAACGGACCCCCCCAAAAATCAAGCAAACGGCCTCCGGACCAAGAGAAAACGGCCTCTGTGCCTAGAGAAAATGGCCAACATAGTTGCACCAAGATCAAGGATATTATATGAATATAGATTGCCCAAATAATAGAGATTTACTTCCAGTTTGATTGATTGTGTATTTGACAAGTAAGACTACTTGATAAGGTAGTGTTTATATTGATGAAGCGGATTAGTGGTACTAATTCCAACTTTCGTTCTTGTAGCTCTGCCATGGTCCCTAGTATGGAGATCTACTTTCACTTGTTGGTAATCTATAGCCTGTTTTTTTTTATTGTATTGTCATCTATAGTTTAAATGTTTTAAATATAGGTTCTAGTTTTAGATTTATATCTGCGATAAGCTACTTGTTTTACTGTCCTTCGGTGACAGGTGTTTATAATTTACCTTTAATGATCACGATATGGCTGATATATTGTTGATGTGACTTGAAATTCAGGTCAAGATATCCAATCACCCGCTACTCCCTGCGTAGTGACTGACGTGAGACTGAGAAAGCAGGTTAATAAAAGAATTAATAGATCATCTTATCTAATACTTTCACCGCCAGTCACTGAGTAATGATCACATTTTCTCGTGTTTATTCAATAATTAAATGTTGGTGGGTGAAATAATCATTTCCGGTTGACTGCCACTACTGTTGAGGAGATGCTGACAGACACGTTTGGACCTGATCAGCCAGCCGGCACACAATTATGTCACTTTAAGAAAGAACTGATATCTGATAGACAGGGTTCTTATTTATTCTAGGTATCCCTTTAATACATGTATCACCATATGTGTTATCAATGAAAAGAAACTATGTAAAAAATATAGCATTATGATATATATTGCATTATTCAGAGACAAAATGAAGGAGTTGTCAATATATAATACAGAAGTACAACTTGTAGATGTACAACCACAACCTTTGCCATGACTATGTTATCATGTTGTTGGCTCCTTATTACGATATTGATTTAGAGATGAATAACATTAAAATAAAATACATAGTTTTCTGTTATGTATAATGGCCGTTTCCTCTAGGTATAGAGGCCATTTCCCTAGCAGTGGTGGACGTTTTCTCGTGAGCAGTGACGGTTTTCTTGAAATATCTTTTGGCCGTTTTTGCTGGGGGTCGTTTTCACTCTTTCTCTCTCTCTCTCTCTCTCTCTCTCACACACACACACACACACACACACACACACACACTCACACTCTCACTCACTCACTCACTCACTCACTCACACACACACACTCACTCACTCACTCACTCACTCACTCACTCACTTGTGATACGTCGTTGATGTGTATAGTGAATCATTTTTTGGTTAATAGATGCGTCCTGACATCAAGAAGGATGTGTTCCACCTGAACTGGGCTCCAGATTCTCTCCCTGCTGATGATGTGAGCTGAATTTGTGTCGTCTGAGTGTCTTCATGTGCCATCTGATGTCTGACCTTTATCTGCTTGCCACTTTCCTAAGGAGAGATGGAAACAGTGTTGAGCTCAGTCTCCAAGTCGTGTGTCAACACATGTCCCAGTTTCTGTGTCTACAGATGTCCCAGTCTATGTCTACATATATCCCAGTCTGTGTGTCTGCACATGTCCCAGTCTGTGTGTCTACACATGTCCCAGTCTGTGTGTCTGCCTGTGTCCCAGTCTGTGTGTCTACACATGTCCCAGTCTGTGTGTCTACCTGTGTCCCAGTCTGTGTGTCTACCTGTGTCCCAGTCTGTGTGTCTACACATGTCCCAGTCTGTGTGTCTACACATAGTCCCAGTCTGTGTGTCTACACATGTCCCAATATGTGTGTCTACACATGTCCCAGTCTGTGTGTCTACACATGTCCCAGTATGTGTGTCTACACATGTCCCAGTATGTGTGTCTACACATGTCCCAGTATGTGTGTCTACACATGTCCCAGTCTGTATGTCTACCTGTGTCCCAGTCTGTGTGTCTACACATGTCCCTGTCTGTGTGTCTACCTGTGTCAAGGTCACTGTGTCTACACATGTGTGTTTCAGTGTTTATATGCCTTATGTTTCTCTTTTTGTCAGGCGGTGGGTGACCTACTTGAGTATTTGGACAGCAATCTGCTCACTCTCAACAACAACCTTCTCAAGACCAACTTTGACCGTATCTTAGAATCAATCTGGATTGAAGTATTGGAAGAATTCAAGGACGTTCTTGACAATGAGGAGGTGATGTACGTATATAATAGTTGGTGGTGTGTACATATGAGGTGGTGTATGTACATATGAGGTGGTGTATATACATGTCAGGTGGTGTATGTACATATGAGGTGGTGTATATACATGTCAGGTGGTGTATGTACATGTCAGGTGCTGCATGTACATATGAGGTGGTGTATGTACATATGAGGTGACGTATATACATGTCAGGTGGTGTATGTACATATGAGGTGGTGTATGTACATGTCAGGTGGTGTATGTACATGTGAGGTGGTGTATGTACATATGAGGTGGTGTATATACATGTCAGGTGGTGTATGTACATGAGGTGGTGTATGTACATGTGAGGTGGTGTATGTACACATGAGGTGGTGTATGTACATGTGAGGGGTGGTGTATGTACATGTCAGGTGGTGTATGTACACATGAGGTGGTGTATGTACATATGAGGGTGGTGTATGTACATGTGAGGTGGTGTATGTACATGTGAGGTGGGTGTATGTACATGTCAGGAGTGTGGTGTATGTACATGTCAGGTGGTGTATGTACATGAGGTGGTGTATGTACATGTGAGGTGGTGTATGTACATGTACATGTCAGGTGGTGTACATGTATGTACATGTACATGTCAGGTGTATGTGTGAATATGTACATGTGAGGTGGTGTAGGTGTATGTACATGTGAGGTGGTGTATGTACATGTCAGGTGGTGTATGTACATGTGAGGGTGGTGTATGTACATGTGAGGTGGTGTATGTACATGTCAGGTGGTGAATATGTATGTACATGAGGGGTGGTGTATGTACATGTGGTGGTGTATGTACATGTCAGGTGGTGTATGTACATATGAGGTGGTGTATGTACACATGAGTGGGTGTATGTATGTATGTATGTACATGTCAGGTGGTGTATGTACATGTGAGGGTGGTGTATGTACATGTCAGGTGGTGTATGTACATGTGAGGTGGTGTATGTGCATGTGAGGTGGTGTATTTACATGTTAGGTGGTGTATGTACATGTGAGGTGGTGTATGTACATGTGAGGTGGTGTATGTACACATGAGGTGGTGTATGTACATATGAGGTGGTGTATGTACATGTGATGTGGTGTATGTACATGTGAGGTGGTGCATGTACATGTGAGGTGGTTTATGTACATGAGGGGTGGTGTATGTACATGAGGGGTGGTGTATGTACATGAGGGGTGGTGTATGTACATGAGGGGTGGTGGATGCACATGTGAGGTGGTGTTTGTACATGAGGGGTTGTGTATGCACATGTGAGGTGGTGTATGTACATGTGAGGTGGTGTATGTACATGTCAGGTGGTGTATGTACCTGTGAGATGGTGTATGTACATGTGAGGTGGTGTGTGTACATGTGAGGTGGTGTATGTACATGTGAGGTAGTGTATGTACATGTGATTTGGTGTATGTACATATGAGGTGGTGTATGTACATGTCAGGTGGTGTATGTACATGTATGTGTATGTGAGATGGTGTATCTACATGTGAGTGGTGGTGTATGTACATGTGAGGTGGTGTGTGTACATGTCAGGTGGTGTATGTACCTGTGAGATGGTGTATGTATGTACATGTGAAGGTGATGTATGTACATATGAGGGTGGTGTATGTACATGTCAGGTGGTGTATGTACCTGTGAGATGGTGTATGTACATGTGAGGTGGTGTATGGTGTATGTACATGTGAGGTGGTGGTGTATGTACATGTGAGGTGGTGTACACATGAGAGGTGGTGTATGTACATGTGAGAGGTGGTGTATGTACATGTGGGGTGGTGTATGTACATGTGAAGGTGGTGTATATGTACATGTCAGGTATGTGGTGTATGTACATGTGATGGGTGTATATACATGTATGTACATGTCAGGTGGTGTATGTACATGTGGGGTGGTGTATGTACATATAGGTGGTGTATGTACATAGGTCAGGTGGTGTATGTACATGTCAGGTGGTGTATGTACATGTCAGGTGGTGTATGTACATGTGAGGAAGGTGTATGTGTATGTACATGTGAGGTATTTACATGTATGTACATGTGATGTGAGGTGGTGTATGTACATGTGAGGTGGTGTATGTACACATGAGGGTGGTGTATGTACATGTGAGGTGGTGTATGTACATGTGAGGTGGTGTATGTACATGTGAAGGTGGTGTACCTGTATGTACATGTGAGGGTGGTGTATGTACATGTGAGATGCATGTGAGGTGGTGTATGTACATGTGATGAAGGGTGGTGTATGTACATGTGAGGTGGTGTATGTACATGAGGGGTGTGTATGTACATGTGTGAGGTGGTGTATGTACATGAGGGGGTGGTGTATGTACATGTGAGGTGGTGCCTGTATGTACATGTGAGGTGGTGTGCTGTATGTACATGTGAGATGCATGTGAGGTGGTGTATTTACATGTGAGAGGTGGTGTATGTACATGTGAGGTGGTGTATGTACAGGTGGTGGTGGTGGTGTATGTGTATGTACATGTGAGGTGGTGTATGTACATGAGGGGTGGTGTATGTACATGTGAGGTGGTGTATGTACATATGAGATGCATGTGAGGTGGTGTATGTACATGTGAGGTGGTGCATGTACCTGTGAGGATGGTGTATGTACATGTGAGGTGGTGTATGTACATGTGAGGTGGTGTATGTACATGTGAGGTGGTGCACGTACATGTGAGGTGGTGCATGTACATGTGAGATGCATGTGAGGTGGTGTATGTACATGTGAGGTGGTGTATGTACATGTGAGGTGGTGTATGTGCCTGTGAGGTGGTGCATGTACATGTGAGATGCATGTGAGGCGGTGTATGTACATGTGAGGTGGTGTATGTACATGTGGGGTGGTGTATGTACATGTGAGGTGGTGTATGTACATGTGAGGTGGTGTATGTACATGTCAGGTGGTGTATGTACCTGTGAGATGGTGTATGTACATGTGAGGTGGTGTATGTACATGTGAGGTGGTGTATGTACATGTCAGGTGGTGTATGTACCTGTGAGATGGTGTATCTACATGTGAGGTGGTGTATGTACATGTGAGGTGGTGTGTGTACATGTCAGGTGGTGTATGTACCTGTGAGATGGTGTATGTACATGTGAGGTGGTGTGTGTACATGTGAGGTGGTGTATGTACATGTGAGGTAGTGTATGTACATGTGATTTGGTGTATCTACATGTGAGGTGGTGTATGGTCATGTCAGGTGGTGTATGTACCTGTGAGATGGTGTATGTACATGTGAGGTGGTGTATGTACATATGAGGTGGTGTATGTACATGTCAGGTGGTGTATGTACCTGTGAGATGGTGTATCTACATGTGAGGTGGTGTATGTACATGTGAGGTGGTGTGTGTACATGTCAGGTGGTGTATGTACCTGTGAGATGGTGTATGTACATGTGAGGTGATGTATGTACATATGAGGTGGTGTATGTACATGTCAGGTGGTGTATGTACCTGTGAGGATGGTGTATCTACATGTGAGGTGGTGTGTGTGTACATGTGGAGGTGGTGTATGTGCATTTGAGGTGATGTATGTGCATGTGAGGGTGGTATATGTACATGTCAGGTGGTGTATGTACATGTCAGGTGGTGTATGTACATGTGAGGTGGTGTATGTACATATGAGGTGGTGTATGTACATGTCAGGTGGTGTATGTACATGTCAGGTGGTGTATGTACATGTGAGGTGATGTATGTACATATGAGGTGGTGTATGTACATGTCAGGTGGTGTATGTACATTTGAGGTGGTGTATGTACATGTGAGGTGGTTTATGTACATGTGACTTGTACATGTGTACAAGACTTGTCATTCCTATTGCTTACAACTTTTAGATGCCATAGACAGGAAAGTGTTTCTCTTCCAGAGGCCACCCATCTTCTACCAACGCATGTTTGATGCCCTTGGTCTTCTGGTTGACTTCTTCCATGCTAAAGGGAAAGGGTTAAACATGGAGGACATCCTCTCAGCACAGTTTCAGGTGAGTTCATCAATTGTCCACAGACCTAGGTCAGTTCATTTACTGTCCACAGATCTAGGACAGTTCATCAATTGTCCACAGATCTAGGTCAGTTCATTTACTGTCCACAGATCTGGGACAGTTCATCACTTGTCAACAAATCCAGGTCAGTTTATCAACTGTCCACAGATCTAGGACAGTTCATCAATTGTCCACAGATCTAGGTCAGTTCATTTACTGTCCACAGATCTGGGACAGTTCATCACTTGTCAACAGATCTAGGTCAGTTCATTCACTGTCCACCAGGACAGTTCATTCCACTGTCAGTTCATTTTACTGTCCACAGATCTGGGACAGTTCATCACTTGTCAACAAATCCAGGTCAGTTTATTTACTGTCCACAGATCAAGGTCAGTTTATCAACTGTCCACAGATCTAGGTGAACCGATTGACTGTCCGTCTTTTGGCAGTAGATGACATATGTTATACATTATGTTTCTAGGAGTTGCGAGACCTGTTGACTTTTCACAAGATGGACACCATGTCTCTGATTGAGACATTCTACATGCAGATGGCAGAGATCCAGGTGAGTTGCCACTATCAGCAATTTGGTTTCTTGCTGAGATAAAAGAGTGTCATGTAAGTGTACTTAATTATGTGTTCTTTATCTGAATTGTCCAATCTACAAAAAATGTACAAAACTATTAAAAGCACATCTCTTCAGTCATCTCTGAATTTAACCTTTTGTGAACTGGCAGACTGTGAACATTGTGGAATATATTTCCAGAAGCAGCAAGAGAGTACAGAGTTTGGTATCCTCAACTTCCGTGCTGTGTACAGATATGACTCCCACACACTGTATGTCGAAGGTATGTGATGTTGGCAAATGATCATCTTGTGCACCGACTACATTCTGTTTCAGAGACTTTCTATCTTGACCTCCTCCCTGACTATAGCATATACTGTGTTGACCACAACACAGACCACTCCTGTGTTGACCACAACCCAGACCACCTCCTGTGTTGAGCAAAACACAGACCAAAAAACACAGACCACCTCCTGTGCAAAAAGGACAGACCAAACACAGACCACCTCCTGTGTTGACCACCAGACCAAAACACAGACCACCTCCTGTGTTGACCAAAACACAGACCACACAGACCACCTCCTGTGTTTGACTACACCACAACACAGACCACCTCCTGTGTTGACCAAAACACAGACCACCTCCTGTGTTGACCAAAACACAGACCAAAACACAGACCACCTCCTGTGTTGACCAAAACACAGACCACCTCCTGTGTTGACAACAACCTAGACCACCTCTGGCCAGACAATCTAGTGATCAACAGCATGAGCATCGATCTGCGCAATTGGAAACCGATGACATGTGTCAAACAAGACCACCCGATCCGTTAATTAAGCCTCTTCGACGACAAACATAGTTGCCTTTTGTGGTAAGCATGGCTTTCTGAAGACCTATTCTAGCCTGGATCTCTTTGCTGACTACAACCTCTGTGTTCACCAATTACTCTCTCCTGACTACAACCTGTGTGTTCACCAATTCCTATCTGCTGTGTTCACAATTACTCTCTCTGACTACAACCTGTGTGTTCACCAATTCCTATCTGCTGACTACAATCTCTGTGTTCACCAATTACTCTCTGTGGACCACAACCTGTGTGTTCACCAATTACTCTCTGTGGACCACAACCTGTGTGTTCACCAATTACTCTCTGTGGATCAACCTGTGTTCACCAACCTGCTGGCTACAACCTGTGTGTTCACCAATTACTCTCTGTGGACCACAACCTCTGTGTTCACCAATTACTCTCTGTGGACCACAACCTCTGCGTTCACCAATTACCGTCAGCTGGCTACAACCTGTGTGTTCACCAATTACTCTCTGCTGGCTGCAACCTTTGTGTTCACTAATTACTCTCTGCTGACTACAACCTCTGCGTTCACCAATTACCGTCAGCTGGCTACAACCTTTGTGTTCACTAATTACTCTCTGCTGACTACAACCTCTGCGTTCACCAATTACCGTCAGCTGGCTACAACCTGTGTGTTCACCAATTACTCTCTGCTGGCTACAACCTCTGTGTTCACCAATTACTCTCTGTGGACCACAACCTGTGTGTTCACTAATTAGTCTATGTGGACCACAACCTGTGCCTTGACAGCAAACCCACATTCTGTCTTGACTACAACCTTTGTGTTGACCACATTCCCTGTTGACTGCAGCCATTGCATTAACTGCATTACACCGTCTAGGCTGTGTTCACTTTGAGGAGTCATCCTTCCATTTCAGTGGACATAGTGTTACAGTATCCATTTCATCCATTCCTAGGCTGTGTTCCTCTGAGAGTCATCCTTCAGTGGACATAGTGTTACGGTATCCATTTCACCATCTAGGCTGTGTTCACTCTGAAGTCATCCTTCAGTGGACATAGTGTTACAAGTATCCATTTCACCGTCTAGGCTGTGTTCACTCTGAGAGAGTCATCCTTCAGTGGACATAGTGTTACAGTATCCATTTCACTCTGGGCTGTGTTCACTCCTAAGGGGACATCTAGGCTGTGTTCACTCTGAGTCATGACATAGTGTTACAGTATCCATTTCACCGTCTGGGCTGTGTTCACTCTGAGAAGTCATCCTTCAATGGACATAGTGTTACAGTATCCATTTCACCGTCTAGGCTGTGCTCCCTCATAGTGAAGTCATCCTTCAGTGGACATAGTGTTCCAGTATCCATTTCACCTTCTAGGCTGTGTTCACTCTGAGAAGTCATCCTTCAGTGGACATAGTGTTACAATATCCATTTCACCATCTAGGCTGTGTTCACTCTAAGAGTTATCCTTCAGTGGACATAGTGTTACAGTATCCATTTCACCGTCTAGCCTGTGTTCACTGAGAGTCATCCTTCAGTGGACATGAGTGTTACAGTATCCATTTCACCATCTAGGCTGTGTTCACTCTGAGAGTCATCCTTCAGTGGACATAGTGTTACAGTATCCATTTCACCATCTAGGCTGTGTTCACTTTGAGAGTCATCCTTCAGTGGACATAGTGTTAAAGTATCCATTTCACCATCTAGGCTGTGTTCGCTCTGAGAAGTCATCCTTCAGTGGACATAGTGTTACAATATCCATTTCACCATCTAGGCTGTGTTCACTCTAAGAGTTATCCTTCAGTGGACATAGTGTTACAATATCCATTTCACCGTCTAGGCTGTGTTCACTCTGAGAGTCATCCTTCAGTGGACATGAGTGTTACAGTATCCATTCCACCGTCTAGGCTGTGTTCACTCTGAGGAAGTCATCCTTCAGTGGACATAGTGTTACAGTATCCATTTCACCGTCTAGGCTGTGTTCACTATGAGAGTCATCCTTCAATGGACATAGTGTTACAATATCCATTTCACCGTCTAGGCTGTG